GGTCAGCCCCCAGCCTGTACTGGTGCATGGGGTTCGACCTCCCCAGGTGCAGCACTCGGCACTTGGTCCTGGTGGAACCTCATCAGGTTCCTCTCCACCCAACTCTCCAGCCTGCCCAGGTCCTGCTGGATGGGAGCACAGCCTTCCAGCATATCAGCCACTCCTCCCAGTTTTGTGTCGTTGGTGAACTTGCGGAGGGTACGCTCTGTCCCCTCATCCAGGTCATTGATGAATAGGTCGAACATGACCAGGCTGAGTACTGAACCCTGGGGAACTCCACCAGCTACCGGCCTCCAACCAGACTCTGTGCCGCCGATCAGAACCCTCTGAGCTCTGCCATGCAGCTTGGTCCCAATTCACCTCACTGTCCACCCATCCAGCCCACACCTCCTGAGCTTCCCTATGAGGATGTTATGGGAGACAGTGTCAAAAGCCTTGCTGAAGTCAAGGTGGACAACATCCACTGCTCTCCCCTCACCTACCCAGCTGGTCATGCTGTCATCGAAGGCTATCAGGTTGGTCAGACATGATTTCCCCTTGGTGAATCTTGTCTTGCAGCTAGAGAAGCTGTGCAAAGGCTTAAATTGGGAGACAAAAAGGGTCATCTCCTCATGGCAAATAGAGATGTACCCCCAAACTCTAAGTGATACTGGATGCCAAGGAATCGATACCTACACGTGTTTGAGAGGACTTCAAAATCACTGCTGAAGCCAGCCAAGAAGAGTCACCAGACTGAAGGAACCAGATTGCAGTAAGGGCCTCATTTAGTGGTTGATGAGCAAAAAAAGGTATCTATCTTTTTAAAGTTTTCTTGCCATTCAGTGCTGGAGCAGAAATCTGAGGTGCCAACATCCATTGCAAACCAGCAAGAAAATGGATGAGATTTCCCTGAAGAGCTGGATGATATCTCCTGCTCCCAAAACATTGTGTATCCCGCAGAGAACATCCCAGAGCAGGGTGCCACAGAGGCACAGCAAACTGGATGCTGTCGTGGCTGCGTGTGACACTGCTCTGATACTGCTCCCTGTGAGCATCTGCCGGACGAGCAACAGTTTCTTCCTCTAAATGCAGGTCCCGTGTAGTGTGGATTGAACTGCAGCTCTGCACCACCTCCTGTTTGAGGGGATTAACAAAAGGAGGCAGTCAACTCCAGTTTATTGGTATGTTCACCCTCAGCCAGTTTGCAGATGACATGAAATCAGGCGGGAGTGTGGATCTGCTGGGGGGGAGGAGGGCTCTGCAGAGGGACCTGGCCAGGCTGGAGCCATGGGCCCAGCCCAATTGGGTGAGGGTCAACAAGGCCAAGGGCCGGGTCCTGCACTGGGGTCACCACAACCGCACCCAACGCTCCGGGCATGGGGCAGAGGGGC